CATGCTTGTAGTGTAATTGTCCTCATAGGCTTGGTGGTTTAAGCCTTAGTCACCAACCTATTTGAGTTGATAATGTTTATTTCTTATTTTCCATGCTTGTAATCACCTTAATCACTTTTGCAACCTCCCTCCTTTCTTAGCTTTTACGTTGCTTTGAAAGTTGGTTCAAACTAGCTGCTTGTTTAAAGCATGAGATTTAGGTCTTGTGTTTAATGGTTTAATCCCTTTGGGGGTTCATTACCAACGGCATGATATCTCTCTCATGCCCAAAACAACTCTTGGTTTGATGTTTCTTTCCATTAGAGGACTTAAAGCTCATTTTTGGACTTAATTGACTAAAGAATGGTTGGTAATTAAAATGGAGTATTAAAATGAGAACTAAAAATGATGCAAGATAATAACTTGGTTTAGGGTTCAATCGGGCGTTAATTGAACCCTTGAGTCTTGAATCATTTCATACTTGTTAGTGATGTAAATGGTTCAAGAGTCATTGTCGACCACTTCCCTTAATCAATCCATGATATGGAGGAGGTTTGAGAGTCTTTATTTGTTGCATTTATTGAACTTGCACACTTTGGTTCGTAGGCCATCATGCAATGAAATTGCATCGATTGATGGTTTGTGAATCAAACTTACCACTCTTTTGAGCTATTTGATAATAAGAAGGGGTAAGTTGTACAAACAACCCTTGAGAATATCTTGGTTGTGCTCTGTTTGCTCTCTGTTGCAGCAAAAGGAACCAGGATTTTGTGGCCGGCAGGCCACCATTTCTGGACGGCAAACCATCTTTTGTGGACGGCAGGCCACCACTTTTGGCCTGCCGGCCACCTTTGCAAAACCCAGCAGTGGCTTTTTGAAATGGAACAGGGTTGGTTTTGAGGTGAAAAATAGGGCAAGTGTTCTAACTGTGCAACAAAGGCTTTCTGGCAACAGAACAGTGTCTTTTTTGGGTGGAAATCCGCATGCATGCATGAGTACTCTTCGCTTCCCAAGGCTGTTTAGTTTAATTACTTAGCTTAGTCATTTCCTTAAATTTTGTAAAGTGTTTTAATTAATTAGTTGTAGCTATTTAATTTTGTCTTGTAAATAATTAGTTAATTAGCTAGAATAGTTAATTAATTTGTTGTAGTAATAACTAGTTAAGTAGCTTAGCTAATTTATTCATTTTTTTTGTAATATTTAGTTAATTCGTAGTTTTGTAATAGTCTGTTAATTCGTAGTAATTAGCTTAGCTAGTTAGTTTATTCTGACCCTCCTGCGTAAGGGCGCAAAATTGTAATGATGTATATGTCTTCCAACCCCACGTCTTTCTCCTTTTTATTTAACTGCTTATGATGGTTAGTTTAGGGCATCATGTTTCTTTTAGAATCTTTCATGATTTGCATCCACTTGTTTTGCATGCACCAAGGCTCAGTACATCATTCTAACTTGCATTGTCGTTTAAATATTTCTTTGAAAAAGGTGCTTAAACTGCATGCTATCAAATTGATTCATATGCCATATTAGTAGCCGAGCCTAGTAATTGCATATCGCATGTGTTGCATTAGTCATGTTGCATTAGTTAAAGCATGTATTTTTCTATCTCTTTTCTTTTGGCTTGCCTAGGAATACTAGATGGGCATTTTCGCTTTAGCATATTGCATTTGTATGTTAGTGTTGCCATGTCAAAGCATGTTCACCATAAGACTAAGTGCTTATCTGATAAATTGTTTGAATGCATGTGGATGAAGGCTAGTTGCATGAATTGGGATGGTTTGATTCATGTACATTTAAGCCCACTTTTTCGAGTGGCACATTTAGAAACTCTTTTCAAAACAAACATGAAATCAAGTGTTCTAATTTTTGCAAGTTAGTCTATATTTGTGTGTGCGCATCACATAATAATGCTAGCCTAATAATCGGAACAAGAGCATATAATGTAGATAAGGATCATATCATGATTGGTAAAGGCCAATCTTTGATCGGGCAAGCGGGGGTGCTCAATTCATGACCTTCCCCTCTCATACCTAAGTTCCCGAGCTGAGACAATCTTGGTGATGACGGACACGTGGCCTTTGGCACGAGTCATGGGTTTCCTAAATTTCCTCAAAAATATTTAGGTGGCGACTCTGTATCTGGCAAATCAGTCCATTTTTGGCATTTTGATTCAAAATTGATTTTCCAAAAGATTTACTAGATTTTGACTCTTTAGTGTTTATCTATTTCACATTGCACTTGTGAGATCAGATTCAGAACCGCGAGAGTCCGAACTGTAGGGCTTATCATCTTCCGAAAGGAGCACGAAAAGTCAAGCACAAGTGGCCATGTTCGTCTTCTCTTTGTTACCTCTGCTGATCAGACCGCCAACCTCTTTCACCAAAACTCATCTTCCAGGACGCTTCTCTGATCTCCTCTCAAAACTCAAGTTGACATCTGACTTACCACCTTGAGCCTGAGGGAGGAGGTGTTAGATATATATTATTTTATACTTATCTATCTGTATTATAGATGTATCTCATCTTCTTTTCTATACTTATCTCTGATGTATCTCAGCCTATAAATACAGGCTTCTTGTATTTCATTATTCAATTCAACATACAGTTTCTCTTTTCTCTTCTCTCTTTACTTTCATAACACGTGCTAACCTGGATAGTATGGTGCAAGCAATGGAGAGTCTCAGACGAAGGTAATAAAAAGTCTCCGACGAAGGTAGATGGATGGTTAGCCGACTAGAACAAACTTTTTAAAGATTTTTAAGACATTGATAGTTGAGAGTTTGTTTGAGGTCATAAAAGGAAATCAGAGTAAAATAACTAATAAGATTTTAAAAGGTGTAGTTTTTATTTTTAGGATTTTTTATAATGAAAAAAATTCCAAAACAAAATAGGCTCTCTAATGTTGTGGGACAGCACATATAAACATTATAACGTAATAAATAATATTATTTACATGATATTGCCAAGAGGTGATGGTGGCATTGTGGTCTTGGAAATGGATAATTTTTCAAAGGAAAATGATTTAGAGCCCTAAAACCCCTCCCCCTAATCCCCCTAATTTCCTTTTCTGGAAACTGTTTTCTTTTTCTTTTCTTTTTTTTTTTTTTTTTTTTTTTTTTACTTGAAATGGAAATTCGGGGGATTCGAGTTCCCCCCTTTTCGGGGGATGAATCACGGTCCTTTTTCAAATTAGGCTGCAGCATCCTCAAATCCCCTCAATTTTAACTTTTACGTTTTTGTGCTCGATATTTTTTTATCCATACTTTTACAATGTGAATAACAAATTAAAAAAAAATTATTCACAACAAAGACCACAAAACCCTAATTAAGTAGAAAAACTCATGGATGGAAGAATAATTTTTCAAATTAGGCTGGCACGTTAGGACTGTTTTAGATGCGCAGCAGCATCCTCAAACCCCCTCAATTTTAACTTTTATGTTTTTGTGCTCGATATTTTTTTATCCATACCTCTACAATGTAAATAACAAATTAAAAAAAATTTATTCACAACAAAGACCACAAAACCCTAATTAAGCAGAAAATTAAATTATTTTATTAACTTTCTGTTGAAAATTTGTAAAAATTCAAGTTGAAAATTCAGCAATAAAAAATTCAAGAAGAAATTTTAGCAACAAATCCAACTAGTGTTATCTTATAACAATTTTGCACACTGAATTCATAACTTCTATAAATTCAAATAAATACTGACTAAATTTCATCACTTGTTTGTTTTTGGTGTTGGCCTTTCTCATTATGTGCATGTGAATCAAATTGACAAATATTAACAAACAACATATGATTCTTGAAAAGAAAAAACTTATAGTTGAAACAATCCATTTCATTGAATAGCACAAATTAAAAATAAAAATAAAAAGTCAATGCATGCAACACGGAAGTGCCTCAAATCTTTAGAAACAAAATTGCAAAATGCACAGAAAAACAAGAAGGAAAAAAAATAAAAAATAAAAATTGTTATACAATTGTTTCTAAACATTTAAAGCAAAGATATTATCCATGATATGGATATATGACACTCCAGTATATACATCTCTATTATTAAATTTTTGTTCTCCCATAATTCAAATTTATAACATTGTTACATTATCTATATTAAGTGTATTCATTCCTTTCTTTTGTACCTAGATGTGATTGTTGAAATTGTGAACTACATTTATACTCCAAACAAACACTACTCTTATTCATTGACTTAGCCTTCAAACAAATAGTTAAAAATTTAACAACTTTTTTCTTTCATTAACTTAGCCTTCAAACAAATACCTAAAAAATACAAATGAAAGAGAACTACATCAACACTTAACAATTCATGATCGATTCATAACAAAATTCCCAAATTTTCAAAGTTCTAGGGTTTGATAAAAAAAAACTCCAAATATGCACAAAGAAGTTAAAAATCAAGTATAGGAAACAAACAAGACTCATATTTTCATACCTTTACAATCGGAGATGGTGTTCTTACAAGAACTCACAGCAGAAATCGCGATAAAAAAACTCAAATTTTCTTGGAATACGTGTGAAAGCGACGGCATATAAATTTCCCACCGTAAAAAACGTGAGACAAAGAGAATTTTTCTTTTTAAAAAAAAAAATTGTCTCTGCCGCTAATGTGACTGTCGTGTTGTTATAGAACCACAAAACTTTTTCTCTAGATAAAATATATTCTTTCCTTTTTCTTTTTTTTTCTTTTTTTTTAATAATATATTGGGCGCTCCACCAAGATGAATTGGTCACTGCCAACTCATTCATGAAGGCTTTCCTTACAAATTATTCTCGACCCCTAGCATTAATGTTTATTAAATTCAAAATAAATTAAGAAAAAAAGTTATTTATAGCACAATCTTAAAATGCATTACAATAATTAGAATAGAATGTTGGATCAAAACTTTATTTCTTGAAATACATAATTACAATTTTTTTTTTTTTTTTTTAAAACATAATTACATTCATTATGAGTAAAACCCATATTATTTAAGGGCCAGGTCAGTTGGGCCTATAATTGGGCCTGGACCAGACCCAAAAAACTAGACAGACCCAACTTCTCTTCTCTCGCTCTCTCTCCCTCTCTCTCTCTACTGTGAATTATCTTTTGCTCTTGGAGAACTTCCATGACGATCATAGGTTAGTTTTCTACTTACTCACTCTCGTTCGTCTCTGTTCTCTCACTATTTTTAGCTTCTTATTTGTTTAGGCTTCTCTATCTTTATTTTTATTTTAATTTTTAATTTTTTTTTTTAGAAGGTTTTCAAGTTTTGAAAAATATGAAGTGGCAGCCTTGACCTTTGGAAAAGAAGGAAACATTCCATGATTAATTTCTGCGACGTTAATCAAATTGGGAAAAGGAGTTAGTAGATTAATCATTTTTATGGATTAACATCTATTGCATGTGCTTTTGGATTATATATTATGATTAGGCATATATGCCCATTGTGTTACATATTTTTTTAAAGTAATTTAGTTGATCGATAAAAAAAATAATCTTTTTTAAATCCCTATATTAGGTTTCACATTTCCTATTTTTGTTTTTTGTTTCACTATCAAATCAAACCAAACCAAAGCAAGCTTGGTGTCCCTATCAAGTGGGTTTTTTGTTATTGCTTTTGAGTAATAATGATTTTTTTAATGGCATTGAATTGGATGTCTGTTTAGTTTTCTTAATACTTTTTTACAGCATTTTCGTTTAAAATTACTTTGTAGGCAGGCACAAACTCTAAATTGAGCCTGTTTAAGAAGAGCAAAAACCCAATTCTAGGGGCCACAACTTCACTGGTTTGAAACCTTTTCAGTGTTTGGTAAAGCATTTCAGAAGTACTTATGCCAACCTTTACTTGATAAAAATTCCCAAAACCTGGTTAAAATCAAACCAAGTTGGCTGGTTTTTCAAAATTTCTGATAAATTAATGAAAGTGGAGCTGACCTGGTCCATTTTTTAGATTACCCAAAGCAAAGTATATAATGAAATTGCACTGTTTTTCATTCTTAATTTTAAGAAATGAATGACTGTCATTTTCCTTTTATTTGAGCATTGTCATGTTTGCTTTATCTTATGAAATTCTTCTCAAAAGTTCCCTCTCTTAAAAAAAACTTCATCTCCTTCCCTTAATGTAAACCAGATTGCTTCTATAATCTTGAATATATGCCTTTCATTTATTATCTTATTTCAAACAAAGTCAAAGAGGATGACATAGCGAAAAATATAAATATTTAATTTAGGTCCTTTACTCTAATGACCTTTTTGAATAACAAAAATGTCTTTCAGGTTTCAACTAATTGTTAACTGCCCAACTGTATGGTGATTCTCTCTCTCAGCTGAGAGTTGTTGGCAGAAAAGTAGTTCCCTCCCGCCGATGCTAGTAAAGATCCTTACATGGTGTCATTCAAGACATCAAACCCTAACCCTACACTCAAGCATCCCTTTTCATGATGTAACCCAGCCAACAATCCTCTGTATCTCTCGTTTTTTAAGCCAATCTAAATCCCAAAATGAAGATACCTATGACCCTCCATTTTCATTCACCTCCAAAACCCTAAAACCCAATAACGAGAACAAGGAAAAGAAGCAAGGGAATAGTCAAAACAAAGCTTCATCGAAATCCGAGAGAGACTTGGACTTTCCATTGAAATCAAATCTACCCTTCAATTTTAGATACTCATACTCTGAGACTAACCCTTCGATTGAGCCCATTGGGTACCGTGAACCACCGAGATTCTCTCCCTTTGGACCTGGACGGCTTGACCGGAAATGGACCGGCACTTGTGCTCTGGCCAAAGAAGCAGTTGATTTGCTAAAGTTAGAAGAACAACAACGTGAGGTTCTTGGAGAACCACTATCCGAAGAAGAAGTCGCTGCGCTTGTGGAACAGTTTCGCCATAACGATTGTTCTCGACAGATTAATTTGGGTACTCTCTCTCTCTCTCTCTCTCTCTATGTATATGCATGTATGTGTTTGTATGTGTTATATTCCTATTTGATGTGCCTCTTTTCAGTTCAATTCTCTGAATGATGAAGCTATACAACTTAGGGTTTGATTTTCATTATAATTTTTTATTAGTGACAATTTGAATTCATGTGTTTGATGCATGATGCATTATTTCTGCTGATTAGTTAGACTAATGGAATGTGAGTATAAGCATGTATAAATTTCACATATTGGCTCTTGTTGTCAACCAACAAATATGTTTGCTCATTGAATGAAGAAACTGAAGTAATTAGACATTTATACTATCGAGAGCCTTGATTTTAGTCATCTTTGGAGTTGCCTAAGAAGCATGGACACTTCTGTGGAAGCGTGGCGTGTCCAACACCCATGTCAGACACCAATACCCTTCAGGCACTCCTAAAAGCGTGACGGACACTTCTTCTGTGTGCCTGACTCTTCCGACACTTGTTAAGTGAATGATGTGTTTATGTTAAGGTATGAAATATATAGCTTTTAATATTAGTGTTATGTTATATCTTTTTTATTATCTTTAAATAAATTATTTATATATGTGACATAATAAATTTGTAAAAATACAAAATTTTATCATGTCCCAAGAATATCATATCCGGCATATTTTGAAAATCAACATACCGGCGTGTTGGTTTCATGTTTGTGTTGTGTCGCATGCCATGCTACTTAGGGAGTAGTCATATTGTACATTCATGGACAGCCACAGGCCCCACATGATTTGCATATGTTTAACTTGGATATTTAGCAGCTATGGACTTTCACACTCAAAACCCATCCCAACTAGCCTTCACCGTATCATATGCACTTCTACACTGGAATTGTAAAATTCGCTATAGCATGTAAATTAGGTTATTTGTGGGGGCTTATGTTGTGAACAATAAATTTCAACTTGAGGTGCCTTGATAACATGTACTACTTTTTACATGGAAACCATAAGATCCGGGGGCAAACAATGCTGGATCTGTTTGATTTTATGGTTCAATTTTATTTGCTTATGTAATTGGACTTGGAACAAAAGCAAATCGCATTGCATTAGGCTTAATCTTCGACATTTGTAAATAACTAGTGAATTTATAATTATATTCACGCTAGGGAAGGGGGGTGTTACTCACAACATGCTCGAAGACATCCACAACCACTGGAAGCGGGCTGAAGCTGTGAGGATCAAGTGCTTGGGTGTGCCAACTCTTGACATGGATAATGTTTGCTTCCAGCTTGAGGTTTGAACTTGGAACAGCTTGTTCCTTTTCGAATTGAGAAATTCAATTGCTTATTTGGTTTCAAGGATATTTAAGTTGAAAATGTGATAGTGTCTCTGTAGGACAAAACTGGTGGGAACATTATCTACCGCCACATAAATATCCTTCTATTGTATCGTGGTCGAAACTATGACTTTAAAAAGAGGCCAGTTATTCCTTTGATGTTGTGGAAGCCGTATGCGCCAATATATCCAAAACTTGTGAAGAATGTTGCTGATGGTCTCACATTTGAAGAAACAAAGGAAATGAGAAATAGAGGACTGAACTCTCCTCCTCTAATGAAACTTAGTAAGAGAACTCGGTTTTTGAAGATTGATGTGAAAAATTGCTTTCATAGACCGTTGTAATGGTGGATAATTGTACTCCCTCAATCCCATAATGTTGGTCCCTTTTGGGAGTTCCAAATTTTTAAGATGACATGACATGTAATTAATGCATTCAAATTCAAACCAAAAGGCATTGGTTTCCCAAATTGCCTCTATATTCCCACTCCTAAATATATTCATAATCATTTATAAGGGATAGTTAATTATAAAGTAACATTTCGAAGAAGGCTAACATGTTGGAACATCCCAAATTGGAAAGAAAAAACTAACAATGTGGAACGGAGAGAGTTACTATTACTGTGTATGCATGATCCACATTGGCACACATGCTCATTTTTGCATTTATATGTCTGTAGCCAGGAATGGTGTTTATGTGAATGTAGTGGAGAGAGTGAGGGAAGCTTTTCAGACCGAAGAAGTTGTACGACTAGACTGCACTCATGTGGGTTTAAGTGACTGCAAGAAGATCGGTGTGAAGTTAAGGGTATGAGTTGTACTCAAATCAGATCCCAATTATATGTATACATATATATTTTCTTGGCTGAAAGTGTAAACTCTTAACCAGGAGGACTGATCATTGTGATTTTTTTTTTTTTTGGGTTGTCTTTTCGTTTTGTTTTAGGATTTGGTGCCGTGTGTCCCTATCTTGTTCAAGGATGATCAGATTATCCTTTGGAGGGGCAAGGAAGAGTTGGAACGGGACTCGAGCTCATTGATAGAACCTACCACAGATGCTAGATGAGCGGTTAGTAACTTGTGATACAGTTCTACCTGTAGTTAATTTGCCTCATCCGATGACTCAAGTTGTTGACAGGATGCAAATATCTGTGGCCGATTTATACCTTCACCAGTAATCATGGTTTCTGATGCAAACAAAAGTTGCTTAGCCAACTCTCTGAACCGTCAACGGTGATATGACACTCAAATGCAAATGGATTGATGAGGAGATCAGTTTTGCATTTGGTATCACAGCAATTATGCTGCTCAGAAAGTGGAACTTCAGAAGGGATGTGTGACCCGTATTTCCTCACCAAAGAAGAAGAAGAAGAATGTATTTGAGACCCTGTAACGCTATACCCCAAATTTCCTATTTTTGTCTCTTGGTTTGATGAGATGATCCAAAAAATGTAAAAACGATCCCTTAATGGAAGTAAGCCTCCTTTTTCTTTTTCTTTTTCTTTTTCTTTTTCTTTTTCTTTTTGGGCTGTCCTTCAGCAGATTTTGTCTTTTTTGTTGGCCCTCTTCAAAAGATTTCTTGTTGCATTGTTTCCAGTTTTCATAAATAACTTTCTTGGTAAGGCTTGCATCTGAAACACTTTCTTTTAGGATGAGCCAAGTTTCACTTGCTATAATGGTGTATGATCGCCAATGGTGTAAAAAATCATATGGCATGACCGAACAAATTTTGTGCAAATGTCGTTTTCTGTCTATGTTTTTGTGTTTGCAAAATAAATAAGCTAAAGGTTAAAAAAATGACCATCATTCTTGTTCTTGTGTGAAAAATATTTTTAAAACGTCCAAAAGTTCTTTTCTTTGTTGAGTTGTATTTAAATAAAATTTCCTAAAATTATTTTCAGATACAATCCACAGACAACTTTCAAGAATTTTCAAAAAAACAAAAAAGAACATAACAAACGTTTCTTTCATTTCCCCAAATCAACATTAATAAATATAAAAAAAAAAATTTAAAAAAAAAAAGTGAATTTCATTTCATGAACAAAGATCCTGCTATTTAATCTATACTATTATATTAAGTGATGCCTAAATTTAGGCCAAGTTTGGCAACTACAAAATAATCCATCTTCTTATTTTTTTATCTTTTTTTCATCACATCATCTCTTTACTTTTCTGCACATTTTTTGATAAACAGACAAAAAATACACTTATTTAGGTCATCCCAAACAACCTTTAAGTCACTTGAAACTTCTGTCACGTGTAAATTCAATAATAATAATAATAATAATAATAATAACTTTTTCTCTACACCTACACGCACGTTCTTCACGGCAGTTTACAAATTTTAAAAATCAAATTTACGAGTTTACTTTTAAATTTGAGTAATAATATGTTACACACACAGTAGTGTGTGCACCCTTCTAGTTTGGTTTAACCCTAGCATAAACTTTACTCTACCAAAAAATCATAACCATGGCAGTGTCTATACTCCAGATGACTCAACAATTTTCACCCCATTCAAGAGATAAAACTGATGACTAAGGCCTCGTTTGGGAACAGGCTAATTTAGTAACTTTTTGGCTATTTGGCTAAAAAGGTAGGTAAAAAAAACTTGTATGTTTGGGATGACTTTTTGGCTAATTACGAAAAGATGTGCAAAAAGTAGAAAGAAAACAGAATCTTTGACTTTTTGGTATGGGTTGTTGGCTTTTTGGCTAATTTAGTAACTTTTTGGCTAATTGGCTAAAATAGCCTCTTGCCAAACGAGGCCTAATAATAATAATAAACAGACGATAAAGCAACTGACTAAAATTGAGCATATTGCAGACAAGCTGCACTTGAAATACAGACCCAACTACAAACGCAGCAAAAACACACAGATTATGGCTGCTCAACATACCCAGCATATTCCTGCCTTCAGAACAGACACAACGTAGACAGGCAGTGGCTATACTACATGCCAAGTATATGCATTGTTTTACTATATATTTACATAAAAGTCTAGCAAGAAAGCGCGTCTGAAATTATAGAAGCATGCACGCACCACTCTTATTGCTGGTACTAAGGTGCGAGGAGGATCTTCCTTAGTTCAGGCCTCTTATCAGCAAGGCAGCCTGAACTGACCATAGAGGTTATCCAGACCTCATCAGATCTCACTGGTTCATTGTCATCGTTCCTATGCCAGCTCCAGAAAGCATGAGTTGAATTCACTATCTTGAGCTCGCCATGACCAAAGCTTGCTTCACGGAAGACAGACCACTCTGGCTGCGGATTTATATACCTGTCAATTCATTTTTAGAGCCTTGGATTAACTGCTTGCATAACTTGTCATTGAAAAAAGGGCAAAAACTGGAAATGAGGATTCACACAGAATGAATACAAAATGCTAGTCAGATTTGTAAATCTGCTATGATCTCACCAAATAGAGCGCTTTCTTATTTGAGTAAAGTTATACAAACTGACAAATCTTACAAACTTTTCTTACTTACTGATTTCGCACCTATCATATCATTGATGTGGGATTTGTTTTAGATTCCGAAGTTTCATTATTGCAAAGCACATCAGTTCAAAAGAAAAGTTCGTAAGATTTGTTAAAAATAAGAAATATTACACAGCAAAAATAACCGAATTCGAGCATACCTTTTACACTCAAACTGAATCCATAGATCATGTAGGTGAATCACGTGCCTCCATTGATGTTTTCAAATAATTCTCAGTAGTGAAGTAGAACTACTAGAGAGCTACCCACACTATTCACAGTACAAAGGCAAAATGGTTTATGGAAAGAGAGAATGTATAATTTTTGTTGTGTCAAATACAGAACCGAAGTTCTGTTTATATAGGAGAGTTACGAGACCCATAAGATAGATATATTATCCCAGATAATGTCTATCTCATATCAACAATATCTAATTAATAATTATCATCTAATATATTGACAATTATCCATATCAAGATTATCCCATATGAAGATTATCTCATATATTGAAATATAATCTATTGTTTTATTAAGATCTCCCCTAATCGGGTCATGCCACAATGGGCGACCCAATTGGATCTGGGTTCTAAACCCGACCCAATTGCCAACATCTCCCACTCTAACATGCGCTGCCATGACACCGTGCCTTTTGTATTTCAATCTACCTAATAAATGCAATCATATTGGCCAATGGACTGTGCGACCACTGAGAACACCTGGATGTGGGAGCTCTCCACTAGAAACTCAAAAAAAGAGCCAGCATAGAGAAATCAATCTGAAAATAAAAATAGTATCTCATATATCCTAGACCCATCTAATTACATCGGTCCAAAAAACATCTCTAATCCTTTAAAAGAGCATATTTGACCCTCTCAATTCTTGGTATATATTCACACTCAATCTGCGTCTCATACAGAGCGATGTGAGTTGCCGACAATGAATAAACAACAGTAGTGTAATGCTAGATGATTTTCCCTTTGCCTTCATGCCATTTAGTTTAGGATTGACCATTTTCCCAGTGATGTCCCTTAAAGCCGAATCATACATGACCTCAAGCAGCATACCAAAGTAGCAGAACATCAACATCTTACCTTATGACATAGTCAAATGTCACAAAATGGTAGATAAGTGAAAGTCATATCAATAATGACACGTAACGGTGAGGAAATAGGAATCCATTCTCTCACCTCATTACTCGGTCGCCAAGCACATGTAGTATAAATACATGCTATGGTGGAGTACCTCTTCCAAAGAATGACGTCATACTCGATACACCGTACAAATCTTAGTCTAGTCACTTTCTAGCACCTAACCCAAATTCTCTATTTGCTCGCCTTCCAGGCGCCAAATGAGTTCTCGCATCTGGCTAATCATAACAGGCAAAACATGGAAAGTGGATACTAACATTCATGTTTGGTCTTTAACACGTCCTCATCTTGGTTGTAACCAAGGCGACATACATAGTGGATAATTTAAGCCTCTCTTGGGTCCAAATAAAATAAACCACTAGTCTCATCATTGCTCGTTCCCAAGCGCCAAGGGCGATTGTTTGTGTGAGTAGGCCAATCTTGCCTGCTGATATCATCATCTACTAATAATTGTGACACAAAGCATAATAGTATCAATATCCCATAATCTCACAACAAATAAGTGATTGATTGAAAAAACACAACCACAGTTTACGCAATTCTAGATTCCAAACATAAGCCTAATCAGCACCTCTTGCGATAAGCATACATAATGGAATCCACCTTGTGCGCCTCACATGAAGTGGTTCAAGATCACTGCCTCTTGCGTAATTTCCTCTCTGAAGATATTTTGGTGACCAATTTGCTTTTATTCAAGATGCGTCCAACAAGCGTATTGAATCTTACAAGGGGTAGATTTATACACTACCAGTAGAGCATCCTATCCACTATCTAATAAGCAAGGTCAAAGTCTAAACTACTCAGTTGACCATTTACCAAAGATAACACTCATCATGCCGAATATGTCCACATAACGTACTTCAGGCTCCCACAACAAAAAGATCAAGGAATATAGGTCATTTGTTTTTCCTAGAGACAATCAGAGGATTCACTCAATAGTTAAGACTCTAGCTTTTACTGATAGGTAAATCAATGGGTTTTCAGTTTCGCATCTAGAATCATTCTAGGATATTCCTTATGTAAGTCATCAAAGTCAAACCGAGAATTCTCCCAAAACAATCCCTAAGGATCGTACATTCGAGCATATAAATTACATCACCCATGTCCATCATATCTAAAATAGAGGACTACCAACCCTAGGTGATGACAACCTTGTAAGGAAAAACTTCTTTTAGACCATTGATCATGCCTCAATAGTCTTCATTGATCATCGTTGGCCCATCATGGCTTGACGAAATCCAAGAACCATTATTTGAATAACTGTTTTAGACTATAAAAGATTTATTGGAACTAGCAATCTTTTTGCACTCCTAACTTTTCGTTATAAAAATAGTAGGTAAATACTTACGGATCTACTTTTCAAATTCTCCAATGAGAAGTTAGGTCACAATGTCCACAGAGTAAAGTTCCAAACTCATGTTAATCATGGCCTAAGTCGAAGCAACCTCACTCCCCAGGAGGAAGTCTTCCCATGGTCTACACCTTCCTCAATGGTGCAATTTTTCAGTACCTAGCGAGCCTTATGCCTCAAAAAGTGACTATCCAAATTGCGCATAACTTTAGAAAAGTTTTGCGTCATAATGGAAAGTCAACCAAATCTTAGAAATAGTTAATCCTCAAAGATTGTCTTAAAATGCGCAACATTGATCCACTTTTCTAAAAGTAGGGGACTAGAGAGCCTTTGGCATTATCCTAGGCTCTTTATCATCTTGCGGAACAATCATGAATGTTTCCCTCTTAATCATCCAGCGATGATGTGGAAAAAATTTCGCATTCGCTACTACGCAACTAAGAATATAGAGTATTCTTCTCTAATGGAGTAATCCACTAGTAGGCACGTCACTCCCACTATTCCTAGGATATTAGAAATTTCGTTCCATTTTCAACTAGGCTACATAAAGCGCCATACTTAGAATTCTCTATCTTAT